AAATCTGTATCAGGACCTGAAAAGCATTACGCTCCGGTGGATCTGGAAGCTAAGGCGGTATTACTAGCGGTTAATCATTTCAAAAATTTAGTCTACGGAAGACATTTTAAAATTTTCGTTGATCATAAACCCTTATTGGCGATTTACGGAAAAAACGTGATTTATCAAAATTAAACAACAACCGTTTAGTGCGTTGGGCATGGAAATTATCGGCGTATGATTACGATATAGAGTATCGTTCGGGATCTACCAATATAGTAGCTGACGCGTTATCACGTTTGCCAGTTAACGACTTTTCAAGCGATCATGACGACAAAGTCATTGCTTCTCTCCTGACAGCCGATTTATCAAAATTTAAAATACAAAAACAGGAACTAATACAGGAGACGTCAAAGGATTACATCTTAAGCCGCATTTTGGTGTATGTTCAAAACGGCTGGCCTACAATTTGTACAGATCCTTCTTTAGTACCATATTTTCAGCGAAGAACCGAAATACAACTGGTAGATGGACTCCTTTTATTTAATGGCAGACTCATTATTCCGAGTTGTTTACGCGAGCGTACGTTAAAAACATTTCATGAAGGCCACCTGGGCACGAATTCGATGAAATCGTGGATTCGTTATTACACTTACTGGCCTAAAATTGACGAAGATGTTGTCCGTTTTATTAAACTCTGTGCACCGTGTCAACGTCATAGGAATGCGATACCCGAAGTCCAATTATCACCCTGGTATCCGGACGTTGAAAAAGGTGAAAGAATCAGCATCGATATTGCTGGTCCGATGGACGATAAAAAATTTTGGGTCGTCATTGTAGATGCACACACCAAATGGGCGGAAATCCAGTCTGTTTCTTCGGTAACGTCGACAAGAATAATTAGAATCTTACGCGCTTATTTCGTACGATTTGGTTACGCCCGTGAAGTTCTCTCAGATAACGGTCCACAGTTTAGAAGTCTTGAATTTAAACAATTTTTAGAACGTTATGGTATTACCCATATTAAAGCCACTCCTTATCACCCAAGAACAAATGGAGGGGTAGAAAGGGCGATACAAACCTTCAAACGACGTTATTATGCCGCTCGGGAAGAAGGATTGTCACCTGAAGATGCATTAGCAGACGTAATTTTCGATTATCGGAATTCGGTGCATTCAGCGACAAACTTATTGCCAGCTAATCTAATGTTTGGTCGTAATTTAAAATGTA